TTCGTTAATGCTACTTTAAAAAAAGTAGAATTTTTAGGAAAAAATTGTATGAATTCGAGGGGGGCGTCGGTTGGTGATCTTACGTGTGATGTTGATCTTGACATTACTTTACCTTTTTTTATATTGGATTGCATATTTTTGACCGTTGAAATATTTATGGAAAATTATGAACAATGAAATATCCGAAATACAAGAACATTAGAAGTGTACAGTAAATATTTTTTTAATGACAATACATATTTTTGTGATCAGCAATGTAAAGATCGGAAATTATTCTGATCGGAAATACCCATGAAGCTATAAATTAAGAACAAATTAATTCAAGAATATCTACAAGCGCTATATCTTCCCAGTTAGGCCAATCGGTAGCGAAATAGCTTCACGCCTGAAGTAGGTGCAGGAAACTTTAATTTTACAGGGCAGTTGTATCTACACTTCCTACAGGAGAAGTCCATTGGGAATTCTATTTAAAGTTTTCACACGTCCTTGTTGTCATCTACGTTGACACAACTGTCACTGTTTATGAAGGTGGAAACTTTTCGTTTTAACCTCAAGAAAATCATGAGGACATTTATTCCTTCCCCTGTTTAATATGCGAGAAGTAATGTAAGAGCAACGTAAAATGAAACGAAAAATAGAACATAAGCTGTAAGAATAGGAAGGTCATAAATAAAGAGGACAAACCAAATTTGCTTAAAGTGATTGCTCATATATTAGCTATCTGTTTGTTATGCCGTAGGTAATTGTGTTGTTAGATATTTCGGTATGTATGTGTAGGTATATGTTTTATTCGGTTTAGAAGGCTGTGGTTGGTGTGTCTTTTCGCTTATAATGATCTCTCATTCATTAAATAAATATCGGTTACTACGAAAAATTATTAAAGAAATGAGATAGTACTAGAAAGAGTAGAAGTCATAGAAGTCAATAAGAAAAAGAAATGATAGGATGTTGAGGAATCTTCATAGCCATGAACGGCTGGTTAGTGACATATTAGAAGCAGAAACAGGAGTAAAGAGTTCTAACACTTTAACATTAATTAATTTCTACTATCCTGTTGCTGATTTTAGATCTAGGAAGTCAAATAAGACAGGACGGAAGGAGTAGTAGGGATATAAAGCATAGGATAGCACAGGGTCGAGCCGCCTTTAATAAAAAGAAGTCACTTCTAAGCTCACGCACAATCGTAGAAAAAGATTGTTGAGGGTGTATGTTTGGAGCGCGGCGTTGTACGGGTACGAAACATGGACAGTGGGCGCGGCGGAAAAGAAAAGGTTAGAAGCTTTCGAAATGTGGTGTTATAAGCGAATGATGAGGATATCGTGGATAGAAAAGGTTAGAAATGAAGAGGTATTAGAAGGAATACGAGAACAGAGGATTCTATGGAAGTCAATAAGAAATAGGCGAGATAGGTTGGTAGGACACCTCCTTAGGCATGAAGGTCTAGTCAGAGACATATTAGAGGCAGACACAGGACTTAGGAGAGGTAGAGGTAGATCTAGATTAGATTACTGCTCGCAAATAGTTAAGAATGTGGGTTGTTCTAGTTGGGAAATGCGAAGTTTAGCTCAGGATAGGATAGAGTGGAGGTACGTGTCCAACCAGTCTTAGGACTGACGACCTTATGATGATCATGATCCTGTTGTCTACAACCTTCTCGTTGAAGCTATCAATTTTTGATGTAGACAATCTTTAATTCAAAGAGATCTATTTAGAAGCAAAAACACACTAATTAGCTGTGGTGAATCCAACTCACTGACCGGTTTCAGCAAAATAATTTTATTTATCCTAACAAAAGCGACAGATAAAGAAGAATTTTATGTACAAGAAAAAATTAGCTATATTTCAGTAAGGTTCTCAAACATTCCAGAAAATTCTAAACACTCTCGAACTCTCTAGATGTAGGGCATTCAAGAAAATTCTGTAACGTCCTGACCAGACGCCGGGACTCAATTAACGTCTACTGACTTTTTAAATGGCGCCGTTTGGGGCAATTGTCTTTTAACCCTTATTCCTTGCAGCTGACAGTAACCTTAACCTTCTTCATTGACAGGAGATTTTACCAGCTGTTTTTTATGTACTTTACCTGTCAAAATATCATAGCTGGCATGATATATATTAAATTTGTTAAAATCGTTCTGAAAATGTGCGTTTTTTATGCAAACGTTGACAGTTAACTATGGGAAGATATTCGATAAAGGATTAAATTGTATAACTGTTGTTGACATACGATGCAGGGTGTTCTATTTAAACTAGACAAGTTATTGCCGTTTAAGTAATTTATTTAATCATAATTTTTGGGCACCCTGTATAGTTAATTAAGTTTTTACAATTGCCATACAAAACTTAATTAACGAGCGGGCTTCAATTTAAATTTGGTAATAGATGTTGAGAATTTGAAAATTAAAATTGCACTAATTCAAAATATTTCAAAATCCTTTAGGTTAGGTAAACTTTAATAAAAATTGCACTACGTTTTCACAAACTTCAAAATACAGTGTAAACTCTATATAACGACAATTAAGGGACTGAACATTTTTCGGCGTTATAAAGAGTGGTCGTTAAATGGAGAAAAATAAAAGATATTATTTTACTGTTCTATAATAATATGCATTTACCAATATACTACACATTTTGCACACGAACATTATTATTCCTACATTGCGTATAGCCTGTTATCTTCGTCTGATGTTTTTTGCTGCTCCAATATTTTAATTCTATTTTGTTACGTATCTTACTCATATCTTGAGATACTGTTGGATCAATTTGATCATATAAAAAGTATTTTTTTAATAATTTCGCTGCATGAAGTGGTTGTTTGATGTTTGGTGGAGGGACAAGATCGCCTTCTTCAACAACGTACACAGCTGCAGTTCTTATCTATTTCGGCAACTTACAAAGTACTGCTTAATGATTTATAATGCCGCATTGTTGTCGTTAAATAGAGTGAGCGTGACGCTGTATAGAGTGTAATATTGTATAGAAAACAATGTAAACCAACCAAAGTCAAGCAATTTCGACGTTTTAAGGAGTTTGTCGTTAAATCGAGTGACGTTATAAAGAGTTTACACTGTA